TACCTCCAGTGTGGTTAATAGCCTTTGAGGCTTTAAACATCTTCATGTTACATAACCATTAGCTTAATTTTCTTTTGTTAACACATTTTGCCCTTTCAGTGTAAACTCTACCTTTCCAAAATTTCTTTTCACATCAGTTCTATTCCTCTAAAACTTATGGGGTCTAACAAGTATTTCTAAAATGTACTTTCCTCTGACATATCATATTCTAGTTAGTTTCACATAAATATCTGTGTCATATTAATATCTGGGATCATGTCTTATAACCTATAGCACATATGGAAGAAATTTGCCTAAAATGCCTCTGTGTCTGTAGAACTGATACAAATAATAGATACCTTTTCTGCCTATATCAGTGTAAGAAATCAGGCTATAAAACCATTGCCTACCTTCTTGCTGGATTGTAGGAAATGTTTCAGGAGATGCTAAAAAATAAGTTGATATCATATTACATTTGACTCCACATTGGCACATCAAAATGAAATACTAAGATGCTGTATTCTATAAGAACAAATTAGCAATTTTATAGAAAATTTTAAAAAATTTGGTAGTCCTAGTAATTGAATCCAAGTTTTTGTATATGCAAGGCAAATGCTCCAATATTCGGCCACATCTCCAAGCAAGGAAACATTTTTAAGGTAAAACTGTTGTGAGGGTAGTCTTTGATTACCTTATTCTATGAAATAAATAATTCTCCAGAGCAGAAAACAATTTAGAAGACTATATTTACTCACCGTTTGCAGTAAAAACAGCCACTACGATGGTTCCAGCCATCAGAAGAAGGAACATGACACCAAGTACACTAGAAATGAGCCTCCATGGCAGATGTGAAGAATCTTCTGAGAGAGAATCAAAACCAAAGCAGACAGAATGAGAGCAAGAAGACAGGCTGAATAAATAGAATGTTTACAGAATATTTTACAGTCAAGAATGCATACAAATACTTGTTCTTTCTTGATTCTCTTAACAGGCATATGGAATATTTTTACCCAATTTTTTTACAGTAAATAATAAGATTTTCCTAAAAACATATACCTTCTGAAGGGTGCATGGCAAACTAGTGCATCAGGATCATTTTATGAACAGAGTTTAATACTCAACATAAAAATAGTACTAAGCAATCAATATGAGAAATACAAATACCTTAATAGAAAAATAGGTTAAGAACATGTGCGAATAATTCACAACTTATATAATAAAATAATGGAAGTGAAAAGCTCATTTGTTGCATGGATTGTTTGCTTAATTAATCAGTTAATACCAGAACTGAGTACTAGAAGGTACTCAGCAGCCTGGTGTTCATTCACACCTAGAATCTCAAACTTCACCTTGAATCCCAGGGACATTTGACAATGATTTCATTCTTGGCCAACTATTTTGGGTTTTTTTTGTTGTTTTGGGGTTTTTTTGCCACAAGAATTCTTTTTCAAACGTTTACCACTGCCCTTATATGGTACTACTTCCCTTATGAGAAATGTGCAAAAATAAAGAAAATGAAAAATCAGATTTCTGTGCAGGGGATGTATCAAAGGCTTCACTTTCATTTCATTGCAGTTTTATTTTGTTTTGTTTTTTACTGTAATCTCTTTAGGGTTTAAGCTAGTTGAATTCCTGCTATCAGGTCAGTTACTTTATCTTTTTCTCCCTCTGGCAAAAAACCAGAATTCTAAAGTGACCCTTCTTTGTGGAAATCCTGCCTTTAGAGAACAAAGCATGAAACAAGATGGAACTCTGAAGAACAAAAGTATCTCCCAGGCTACCTATGCCCAGCCAAACTAGCTGGGTATTTATGACTTGTCATAACTTTTGATCAAAATTCAAGCTGTTCTTTCCTGACCTCTCCTAGTGCATGTATCAGCTGTGTGTTCCTAGTAGGGCAAAGCAGTCACATATGGTAGATGTTTGAGGATCCAAATTCAGAAATTTGAGAAACAGCCTTTAATCTTGCCACAAGATAAAAACACAACCCTTTCTGTGATATATAAAGTCTTAAGAGGACAAATTATGTTCATAGTTGGAAAGTCTTCTATAAAAATTTCAGTTCTATTCAAATTAAGGTATATGAATAAATAGAACACAATTTTTTTAAATGGCTGTAGGAATTGTTCTAGAATTTCTCTAAGCAGTTCTCGAAGAATGTTGGAAAACAAGTGAAGGAGACTAAAATGAGAATTTTGAACCTTAGGGAACTTACTTCACTTCTAATTAAAAGGAAAGAAGGGAAAGGAAAAATTATGAGAAAAGAAAAAAAATGGAAATGATGTGTAAATAGGGAAGGGTGGAGGGGGTGAAGGGCACACAGGGAATGGGGAAAAAATAAGAATCAAGATACATCATGTACAAGTACAAGCACCCAAAGATAAATGTAAACGTATTGTATGCCTAAAATGTACCAGTAAAAGAACTTCAGGGAAAAAAAAGCAAATAGTCTTAATTAGCAAGGTTGATTTCTAAAGTGAAAATTCAAACAGAAGTCCCTGAGATAGACTGTAATAAAAGTGTTGAAATAGAATACGATGCCAAAAAAATCCTCAGTAAAAGAAAATACTTGAGAGAAACAATCCTCACAGCCCACCATAACTACAATACACAACTTACGTTTTGCTTCCTTTGTTTCTGTCTAAGTAAATATTTGAAGTCTAGTAAGGATTCAGAAAAGTACACATATCAGAAGCAAATGTTTGGATGAATTTCCAGTTTGAACACACCTATTCACCTTACTCACCTTAACAAACCAGCAACACGGAGAATTTCCATTCCCCATCCCGGTGTCAAAAGGTAGCCACTCCCCTTATTTCTGTTGCTACTCAATCATTTTGTTTTAAATTTCAAGTACATAAAATCATACAGAATGTGGAAATTTTTTGTTATGTGATTTAAGTAGAAAATGAAATACAAAGAAAATCTATATACCACAAGTCACATAGACTGAAAACAGCATCATGGGTGAGCTCTAAAATGTAGACTGTCCTGTTTTAACACCTTGTTTAATAAACATGCAATTGCTTAATTGATACATAATATAATTATAATCTATAATCTTTTTCTTTAGAAGTACAATATTTTCTTAGAATTTCATTACCACTTTAGAACAAGCTGACTAAAATGTGTTTATGGTTTTGAAAAAATAATCCAAGGAAACCCTGATGGTTTATTTTTGACAGCAGTATGTAAAACTGGCTTCTGCTATTTCAAAAGCTCGCCATGGGCTTGGGATTTAGTTCAGTGGTTCTGCTGCCTGCCTTGCAAGTGCAAGGACCTGAGTTCGATCCCCGGTACCAAAAATAAAAGCTTGCCAGCCCCCTGTAATCCGTCATCTCTTTCCCGGAGCACTAAGTCTGGAAAAGCCAAACCCACAGTCAGGCTTAAACGTCCAGAAAAAGCCATAACCTGCAAGTTGACATTGCATTAACTGTATTAAACTTTACCTAGGATTTAACTTTATCTTTGCTAATAGCCAGTTTGACATCCAAAATTGAATGAAGTATATTCATCTTTTCTTTTTTCAGGAAATAATGACATAGAAGATGGTAATGTGAGCTGTATACCACAGGTTGATCTGATATATTTACTTCATATTTACTTTTCCATAATAATATTCTCAGTGTTCCTGAACAACTTGCCTGATCCTAGTCCACTAAGCACTTGTGTCTACTAATTCATCCACACTTTGACTCCTAAGACTCTGTAACCAGATAATTTATTTCCAACCTGTCATAATTATTCAAATTTTACTCTTCAGTCAAGTCTAAATCAATTACCAGCATAATCACATAATGTCTAAAATATTCAAATTACCTTTTGAATTATTTATAACATGGACCATTGGCCTTTGTCATAATCAACATTAAATTCCAATTTTACTTGTATATTTTCTACCTAAACTTAGAAAAACTTTAGACTATTTCTTGTATCTCCCTATGCACAACACAATTCAGTACTTAACTTTAAACATTCCCCTCCTGTTTCCTGAATATAATATTTTACCTTTGCTGGTGATATTGTCTGCTGTGGTTGTGTGCTTTTTGTGTTTGTGGTGTTTTGGCTCCTTCGTGATGACTGGCAGTTCCTTTGAACTACGTTTATTTTTAATATCTTTTTTTCTTTTGTGCTTCACCGTAGAGTTCTTATTTAGTGTAGGAAAAGTTCTGGGCTCTTCATTCATCTTTACAAAGGAAAAACTGAGTGAGATAAAGAGTACAAGTTCTATAATTTGAGAAAGTGTATTGTAATAAACAGATGAAAAGGTAATTTAAAAATCTGTGTTGAATAGAAATTCCCATTATCTTTCCTGGATGCATGCTCTCAACACTTTGAAGCCTCAAATATACGAAAATATACCACAGAAAACTTAGGAACATAATAACCCTAATGAAGTTTGAAGCCACTGAACCAATTTTTATAAGAAAGTGTTGTCCTTAATAAAAAACTAAAAAAACAGTTCTAGACCAGCAGTGAATTAGCTCCCTTTCCAGATTCTCTCCGCCATCGTGCCAGTTTGCCTCTTGGAACTGAACAATATGAGACATGATTTTCTACTCAAGTGCTGTGTTTATTAGCAATGTTCCCTAGGAACCACTACACAGTTCATGATTAAAGCCCTAAGCTAATATTTGCCTGTCACTGTTTTCCTAATATGCCTAGTGAACAAGCCTCTTTTGTGCTTTTAGGATTTAAACAAAACTGTGCTCCACTTATGCATAGATTCTGTTGGCTGATTACCTTGTTTCTATGCTTTTATATATATACTTATTATTGTTAAAAAAGTAAATAATTGCCGGGGATTTAGCTCAGTGGTGC